TACAATATTTATAATTTATCGAATTTCTTACAAAATATCATCAAAATTAATTTAAATTTTAATTACAATTCTTGAATGTTTGAGTTTCTTGAATCTCATTATTCAACAAATTTAACTTGAATTCAAATTGATCTTTGATTAATTTTATTATTCTTGTCAATTCAGTTTTATGCATCATGCCTAACAAAAAAATTTAAAATACATTTAGTTATAAGATATCGAGAAATAAATATTTACCAACTTTCATCAATTTTGTCTTCATCTTTCTCATTTATCTGTTGTTACAGTAAGTTTTAAATTAAAAAATTTGATAAAAAAAAATTACAATGATAAACAATACTTTAATAACTTAATTCTTCTTTCCTGCTTGAATCTAATTGAATTGCTCTTGAAACTTTCGTTTTTTTGCCTCAGTATATCAAGTTCATAAAGTATACTAGCTTCATTTTTCTGATAATTCATACTTAAAATTTTAAATTACATTATTGGATATTAATTTGAAATAAAATATTAATTATATCTATTTTGCAAGATCACTAATCTATAGTAAATTAGAATCAAATATATATATTTACATTTTAAATTTTAAATTAGACTCTAACTTATCACATTCAGATTTTATTTTACTGTTTCTTAAAAAAAAATAGAGTGATTACTGTATTAATCAACGATAATTTAGCTAAAACAGTAAATGCCTCACCTCTAAATAATTAATTTGTATTATTTTCTCTTTCATTTCATTTCTTAAGCTTTTTATTTGGATTTTATATTTATTTTGATTTTTCTTAAAACCTTCTATATGTTTAGAATTTTCTTTCTCAAGGTGTTTTATTCAATTTCCATATTTTTCTATTTCATTTTTATATTTTGCATAAGATATATGCTTATTCGAATTATTATCTAAGTTATTGATCACACTTTCTAAATGTTGAACTCGACACTTCATATATTGGTCAAGTGTATCAATATTATCTTCAATTCAAATAAAATTTTGTATTGAGCTTTGAATAGGAACAATGTTATTTATACTTAAAATTTCATATTTAAAGTTAAAATTTAAGACTTTATTCACAAATTCTGGCTGAACTTTAGTAAAAGATTCAAAGCAAGAATTAAAAGGTTTCTCTGGCTCATTGGCTGCAATTTGACAAAAGGCCTTAAATAAAAAATTAGAATTTTGGGATACTTTAAGATAAAACCATGTAATTTCATTATTGTTAAGCTCTAAACATCTTCCAATTTTTATGCATAACCATTGCAATTCAATATTTGTTAAATTACTTTCTTCATTTTTCTCAAAAATGTTGCCTAATTTTCTGAAAAATGTAATATATAAATTAATATCTTTATTATAAAGAAAAAATTGTTAATTAAATATACAGTTTATTATAAATCATGTTAACGTTTCGTGCTCTTGAAATTAATTCAACATTATTAATTAGTATAGATAAACAACATCTGATTGGCACTCTACTAAGAATCATGTAGTAGTTCAAGTCCCTCATTTGTCACTATAGGTTTAGTTTGTAGTTCGTCTCTAAAACAATTAAATAAAATTTATACTTACTAAAAATAATAAAATTTAGCAAATTAAGTAATAACGTATGATATATGTACATATAATAACTAATATTGTAAAATTGACGTACCATAAGTTCATCAGTAACATTAAACGTATATTTTGCCTTAACTAATAAACAATAAAAAAAACATTAAAATAAAATTGCAAAAATAAAGAATTATGCTTAAGATTTAACAGACCTATTCAAAAAACACATAAAATTGATCTTGCATGTTTGGCTATATAGTTCGATGTAGAAAACTTTGCATAATATTTATATTTTCATTACATTAATTAAAGCTTATTCTATTTAGACGATTTATTCAATTTATTTCAAATAAAATTGTAAATTAATGTGGCTATTAGTTTCAAATGAATATAGTCTCTCCCTAAATGTATAGTCTATTATAACTATTTCAATTGTGCTTTCTAAATTTTACAATATTAACCTAATCAATTATTCATTAAAACACACTGAATTGAAATTCATAATACAATTAATTGAAAGCAAAATATTTAATTAAACCTTTTTCAAAATTATGCTTAAATTTCGAACAAAATACATCATAGTTTTCTTTATTAACATTTATCTTTTTTACATTTCATGTTGCAATTTTTGTGCGAACCATAATAATTATTCAGTTATGATATTATAGGAAAAATTACTGGGTGATGAGGTACAGTGATTTTTTTTTTTTTGTAATATATTGATGTTTACATTTAATAATGTAATATGACTAAGCAATGTTGTGGTCTTTGTGATACTAATTCTTTCTCTTTATTCTTTATTAGAAGTGTAAACAAAACTGGCTAAATATTTGAGGGTCTCTATTTAGGTCCATAAACCTTCTAAATCCCACTTATGCTTGTTTATTATAAATTCTACCCATAAAGCTGACCCTAATCAAAAAAAAAGGTACCCAAAATTTACATTTAATATATTAAGAATGGATCTTAATACTATTTATGTGTTTTGTGAATTAGTATGTTGGACAATGTCAGTACTCTATAAACTTTTTATCTACTTTCATAATTGGAGGGGCAAGATTGGTTTACTTAATTTAAATTTAATTTTGATATTTCAATATTTTGTTAAAATGATTATTTTGTATATTAAAAATTTTAATTAAAATGAAGTTAAGTAAAAATAATTTTAATGATTATTACAATTTTGTATTTAAATTATGAAAACTTTGGGCAGAAGGATTTTTGCACACACTGAACATACAGTATTATAAAAATATTTTTCTAACTTCTTGTTCTATAGATGTCTCTCCAAAGCAAGGATCAGTCTGTCTCTTCTAGTCTGTCCTTCCTCAAAAATCAAGATAAAAATTTGGAGGCTAAAGTGACTAAAAGGGCTTTACCGAATTTCAAAGCTAATCCTTATGCTAAAAAAGTAGACAATTTATTTAAAAGAAATGGACTTATCACTTACTTGACCGTTCACTCTGAATATAGTACTATTAAAGTCTCTTTTAATTATAAAAATTTAAAATTCTATCGTAAACTTATTATCTGGCACAAAAAAATTTCTGAAAATGATTATCTAAGACTAGTTAATATGACCAAAAAAAAAGAATATAAATGGATACTTGTTACCGAATCGTTGATAGATGCAACAGGCAATAACAAGATGGAAGATTTTATGTCTTTAACGAAAAAACATTTGAGAATTATGAACTTGGATGAATACGCGATCATTGACTATCTAAAAGAAGATTTTTTTGCTGAATTTTTCGAAAATAATGAAAAGGATTACTATATAAAAAATGATGATGAAAGAGCATTATTTTTACATTTTATAAATAGTTCTACAAAAATTTTCTGGGACAAATCAATTGAAAATAATATTCGTAAATAGAATAACGAATATACTAAATATTTTAGAACAATGGCCGACATAAATATGTTGGCTTAAAGCTAATATTAGGTAATTCAATCTAATGATTTAAAAAATTTAAGCTCGATTACCATGCCGATACCAGTTCGATCACAAATTCTGACCGACCAAACCGACCATTTGACTGATACTATATTTTGTTATTTATTATACAATGTCTTAATGTTAACTTATCGTTATGATTATTTAAATTGATTTATTTTATTGAAAATGTAAAAACAAAATACAATTATTATAATTTGTCTATCAGATAATTTTGTTAAGATTTAATCATTACTCTAATATCCTCTTTTCTAATTTTTACTTTGCTACCATAAAATTTAATGTTTAAGCTAATCAAGATTACAATAATGATTGTGATAATTAAATTTAGCTACATACAAATGAAATTTGTAGCCCGAATTTTACATGCTGCTTTGATTATTCGAGATGCATAGGGATAGCCCAACGGACATATAAATGGAATAGGATCAATTTCATGTATTGTGTTAATTGCATAAACAACTATTCCAAATTAAAATGTTTAAAAATGCTCAATTTTTTTTTAAAAAAAAACACAATTGGGCCAATTAAAATACTTACTTGGTAGAATTAACCAGAAAATTAAAAATAAAAAATATCTAAATTTATTTTCTTTATAGCAGTGATGACAAGATACTGCAAGAATACTAATTGCTTAAATAGAGATGAGTTATAAATTTTTATACTAAAATAAATTGAAAATAATGAATTAAATTATTTTATACCAGAAGTCATTAAAGTGAGTACAATATATCTAAGAAAAAATTTAAAGAATAAATAAAATTTAAAGTAAATAATGTGGTGGTGTGTCTATTAAAGTATCTTGTACTTATGCATATTCAATCTCTTTATTATACTTAAGCATTCTATCAGTTTGATCAAAAAGTATGACTTTTGCTAGTGCTGTAAAATAATAATTTAAATAACAATACTGTATTATAGTTATGTGGTGTTATACAAATATTTAAACAAATATTACCAAACAATGGACAAAGCAATGTGAGAATGAAAGCTGATATAAGTACTAATTCTAAAAAAATTATTCTTTTCTCTTCTTCAGGCATTTAATTTTGCAGATTTTTATTTTGTTACTATTTATATATTATGTAAAGACAATTCATAAGTAGTTTAATAATACAATATTAAATTGAACCCGCTATTATTTTTTGATTAATTGTTTAATTAAAAAGTTGTGTTAGTCAATTATATATTTAAATAAAAATTTTGTTTTGTGTTTTTTTTATTTTCAAATTCAATTTAATAAATTATTTATTCTAAACCAAAAATAAAGATTTTTTCATAAGCTGAAAAATATTATCAAATTTTATTGTTGCTAATTATTCTAACAATATCATTTGGCAAGCACGCAAGAGCAAAGTGAATGAATCAAATTCTATATAAATCAGAGATACTCAGACTTTAAAGACAACACCAGAGGTCTACTGACCATTCTAGCAAAGAATAGGTCAAGAGTAAAGTAGTACTTACCCCATCTCCCTAGCTTAGTTTATTCAGCATGTATCTTATATATGTAAATTAACTAATTAATAAAGAGATAGAGGATAAACCTCTTTTTAAAAAAAATAAAAAATAAAAAATCATAACATTAAAAATAATGATAAACTTTTTACAATAGCATGGGATGATCTACAAAAATTGGCCAATCACAATATTTTTATTACTATTATTAATTGAGAATACGAAACAATATCTACCTAGTGAGACGCTTTTTTTTAAAAAAACAGACAATTCTAACACTAACCTTGACTATAGTGTTGGTCATGTTCAATTTTCTTGTAATTAGTAATTAATTAGAGATAATGAATTGTATAATGATAGTAATACTTATAAAGCTCTTATTCTTATTAGATTATTAGGTTAAATTGATAAATTAAAATCGAATCCTTATTGGTTGTAACTCTTAAGTTACCTACTAAGCAATTCATTATCGTTTATCGATAAGCATTACTAATATTCTGTTAAAATTAAATTGAATTTAAAAATTTTTTGAGTTAATTTTAATTCAATTAAAAGATTATATTGTGTCAACAAAAAGAATAAGATCGAATTAACGATTTCATTCTTTTTGTATTGTCTAAAAAAAAAAATTACGCTAAGTAATTATTAAATACAAAATCAGAATTTATTTTAATGTAGAGTAAAAAAAAAAAATAAACAAATGTATTAAATTTGATCAAGCTTTATTTAAGTAAATTAAATCGCTAAATCGTAAAATATACTAATTATAAGATATCAAAATGTCTGATATGACCCCAAATCCCAACTGGTTTCATAGTGATTTACTTAAAATTTTTGTATTGAACATACTAAAAAATTCCAAAGATGTTAATATCTGGGGCATAAATATAGAACAGTATCTATGTCAAGAATGTGCCAGAGAAATTTTTTCCTTCTACCCAATTATACTACTTTCTTGTAGACATGCATTTTATTTAATGTGCTTGCAAAGTAAAAGTATGAACCTAACTGTCATAAATACCCTGTTCAAAGTGAAGGATGCCTTGAGGAAATTGAAATAACACCTAAGCATAAGAAAAACACAAAGCAATTTAAAGATTCTCAAAAATTTAAAAAACTTGTTAATGAGCTATTGAATGATGTGACTGAAAGAAACATGACACATTCACATTATAAGTTGACTACACAGAACACAACAAAATCGCATCATAAGACCAACACTAGATTAACTACTATAAATTTTAATGATCTTAATAAAAAAATTTCAATTGCTGAAGAAAAAAATAATAAATCAATTTATGAGGTTCTTAAGCGTTACTATGATCTTGGGGAGTCTATAGCACAATCATATAAAACTTTTTATATGATATCACATGATGTATATAATTCTAGACAGCAAGTTTATCAGGAATTCATGCAGCAGCTAAATATTGATACTTTAGACAGTGCTATTAGAAAAAGAAAAGAATGGGGTAAAAAGATTTATAGTCTCCTTAGTTGTTTTAATACAAACGATAATGGATCTAGAGGCAAAGAAATGATAAATCGGATTAGATCTTTTTCTTTGTCAACTATTTCAAATTTAAGTTGGGATAATATTAATATAGTGAAAGAATATATTACCACTAGACTTAATATAATTAATAGACATAATAATATGACCTTTAATTATTATCATTACATATGACGTTGAGATAACTTTTATAGGAAAAATTATTGGGTGAGATGCCCTGTGACATTCATGTCAATACAATCACTATTGGGTACACAATGATGATTTTTTTTGTAGTTTAATTTTTATAGTATTTGCAAATATTTATATATAACTCGCATAATATCTTTAGTATTAAAATTTTGAAAAAGCATTTAATGTACTAATGATAAAGCAGTGATAAAGTAATATAACTAAGCAATATTAATTGCCAATTAGTCTTATGTAAAGATATGGATGGATTGTAACACATCAATAATAATCAATACTAAGTATTACTAAGTAAAGTTACTATTTTCTGCATGAAGATATCTTATAACAAGGTCATGGCTCCATCAAGCAAAGCCCGAAGAAATATCTCTTGAGCACCATTAACATCTCTATCTATTTTTATCTCGCAATTTTTGCATTTGTATGTTTCTGATCTTCCAATATTCTGAATGTTTCCATACTAACTACATGTTTTTGATGTGTAAGCCTCATTTTAAATTATCACATGAATTCCTTTCTCTTTTGCTTTTGAAATTAATCATTGTCGAAACTTGTAATGAGACTAGCAAAGCATCTTTCTAACTGTTTTCCTTGTTATCTTTCGTGTTTTCCTGTTTACCATATCTGAAACCTTAAAAGGAGGAATAAAAATTATGTCAAATTCATCTGTTAAGAACTTGATTGTTTTTCGATAGATTTCATCCTGCAGCTGTCTGATCTTTCGTTGCATATGAAAGATGGCTTTGTCAACACGCAATGCTTTCTTCTTCTTTCATTTCGAGATTGAAGATACCAATTTATCCTTTTTCGATATTAGATCGTCCATGTGTTTACATAAATGAAAAATATGTCCTATATCGTGTTCTTCTATCTTTCCCACACCTTTTGTCGAAGAATACCAAGTGAATAGAGTACGAACTCCTGGATCAATTAAAACTATATGAACATCTGCTTGTGTTTCATGGATCTGTTTCTGTGCTTCATATACTCAATAAAATATTCATTCGTTTGTTTTACGTATATACATAAGTTTACAATCACAATCTATCTTTTGTGATGGCCATTTATTATGCTTTCTCCTTTTTTCAAAAGAAACGGACGTAAGTCACATTTTCTATTCTGTAATTTATTGGGTTTGTATCATTTTGATGATAAAGTTAAAGAATTATAAAGATGTGTAATGTAAAAATATTTCCAATCTTTCTTTGAAAAGTTTTGCGCACGAACAGTCATTGTCTGTTGTAAATCTTTCTTAGATTTAAATGATAATAATGATTTTTTAGTTTCTTTTAAATTTTTTTGTATTATATTATTTCTAGCTATCAAAGCTTCATCAATACTTTCATCAATTATATTTGCAGGTACTATATCATGTAAACCTTTAATACGTAATTCTAACTATACAACTGTTCGAAGAAATTTGTGTTCTCCCTATACACATAATCTCTGTAATTTTTTATCTTTTTCATTAAAATCATTTCCTTCTTTTACATCTATGTATAATTTAAGTTTTTCGTTGAGTGTATGAGGTTTTATTCATTCAAAATTTTTAGAACTATTACAAAAATGATGATTTTTGTTCCATCTAACAACAGTATTATAAGCGTATCTCATCAAACCTAGCCATCTCTTCAATATCTTTTTCTGATAATGATTCGGATATATTTTGATTGATAACGTTCGATTCACAGTAGTTTCGATTTTTCATTTTTTTTTGCTTCATATTTTTATTGTTTTTATTTTCTATTAGTTTTGTTCACTTTGGTATTTAGCTACTCTTCTTCCCTGTATTCAACAGATAAAGACGGTGTTGATTGCAAGGATATCTTGTGATAATTCATGCTTATTGGAACTTGATTCGTCGAAGAGAACCACGAGTTTCGTAGAGTGTAACGAGAACATATATTCAATGAGGTCAAATGTAAATCTGCAGAGTTGATCACGGTGAGTAACTACAACTTCTGAGACCATTCCTTTACTTGATCGTTCCAGTAAGATTTTAAGTCCATTTCTTTTGAAGTTGATATCTGACCCGATATTACTGACGAGCTCATAATTCGGAAATCTGGATTTAAGGATCTGTTTCTGTCTTTTAAGGACTTCTTTTTGTTTATTGCTTGAGACATGTATATATAGAAAACCTTTTTTTTCAGTAACAGAGGTGGTTGAGATAGCATTTTGAGTAATCGACTCTGGTAAAAAAGAAGAAATATCATAGAGACGAGTCCCGGATGGAGACATTTTCACAGTTATTTTTCCCTGTCATAACCAACGTCTTAAAGTATCAGATACAATTCCAAATTTCTTGGTTGTTTTATAGGCAGATAAATACATGAGAAAATTTTTGATTTTAAAATACTCTTATTTATAAGATATTAATATTAATAACATGACCTAACAAAAATGTGTTTCTTTTATCAATCTAATCTAATAGCATAATGATAACAATATAATAATAATAAGTGTTCCTAAGTAATTCATTATATCATTTATTAATATATATTACTAATTAAAAATTTTATGCGGTACTAATTCTTAATTATACTTTCTCTTTATATATTGACAAAGTGTTTAGTATGTTAGATACTCAGGTTTGGGTTTATTAATAAATTATTATACAAACTATAATGGCTCTAGAGGCAAAGAAATGATAAATCGGATTAGCTCTTTTTCTTTGTCTACTATTTCAAATTTAACATAGTGAAGAATATAATTTCATATAACAATATAGGAAAAATTATTGGACGAAATACCCTGTGACATTATGTCAATACAATCATCATCATGTTCATATTTAATAAATAATACTCTAATTTTGTAGTTTATTTATATCAATCAGGTATTTGAATTTTATAAATACAAAATAGAATAGGCAAGGTAATTACTTTTTACGTAAAAAGTAATTACCTTGTTCATCTCTAGTTTTAACAAAATGCTTGATAAAATACATATTTGCAAAAAAACCAAGTCTCGAAAAATTTTTATACAAATTTTTACAATATTGGAAAAAGACCATTTTTGTGCACAAAGAAGTGGTGCAAAAGTCGAATTCAGAGATATTTCCCGATTAGAGTGTCCAGAATTCAGCAGCAATAATCAGCTCGCACTCTAAAAATATTTTTATTTTAGTATTGTAATCATTATTAAATAAAATACTATACAAAAAATAATTTATAGCGATTTGGACACTCTTATTAAAATTAAACTTGGGTGAGTCAATAGAAAGCAAACAAATATTTTTTAATATGGTTTTTTTTTAAAATTTTAAACACCTATTTTTTTATTAAATTAATTTTATCTATTTTTAGTTCTATTGAGGATTTTCAAGTATACTACGATTAAAATTCAATTCAATATTTTTTATTAAACAATTAAGTCAATTAATTCTAAAATTAAAAAGATTTATATACGGTTATAAATATTCAGTATATATTAAATTAACTGTATAATAGTTTATCCAAATACAAATATGGTGTCAAAATTTGCTAGCCTCGCATTTTTTGAAAAGAATGAAGATTACCAAAAAGCTTTTGAATTTTTTTTTAGATATATATTATGATAAATCTGAAAATATTAGTGGATTGAAATCTTGTTAGTTGATCGTGTTGAGAATAGATTAGGTGCTTTTAAAGAAAATGAAAAAGCATTAGAATTTTATTCTTATCTTTATAAAAATTTTCCAAAGTACGCAAGTTTTGCAAGGAATAATTAATAAAATACTATAATTTTGAGATTGGTGTTGAAAAGGATGAAGAAAAAGCTTACAAACTTGAAACTGAAAATATATTATGTAATATCATAGGCGGATTCTAGTGACTTGGTTGCTCTGCAATCCGAATTCTTTTGCAACCAACAATAGATAACCTTTTCGAAAGAGGGTGTTAGATTTGGCTGGTGGGTGATTAAGGCTTTCGGTTACTTTGGGTCCACGAAGGCAAGTCGGATAAGTCACATGTAATAGTGTTAGTATTTATTATAGGCGATATAAGGTATTTGGGACTTATTCTTTAATAATGCCAACAGATCTTAAGGGCCATTTCGGCCTTTATTTATAATACTAAATTCATCACTCACAAATGTAACTTTACACTTATTATCTATTAAAACTAATTAAAGCTATTTACAATGATTTATATAATATCTTTAAGAATATGTAATTTGTCTTTATATCCTCCCTTATTCCTTATCTACCCTCTAGATCCGAAATACTTTTTCTGATACATATATAACTTGGGTATTTTTCACGTGATCGGTCACGATATCCAGTATCACAATAATATAAATATGTAATATAAAATACCTAAAAGTTTAAAATTTTATATATTAATAATACTAAATATAAAAATTTAAAATTTAAATTTTGTTATAAAATATGTTATTTAAACTTACTAAAAGGATTTTAAAATCTTATTTTTTCTCGATATATTCTATCCATTTTTCATCGTTATCCATTATCATTTTTCTGATTTTTTCTGCGCTAATGGTATGTTCATTATATATATTTATAAAAATTATTTCTTTCTTTATATTCTTTTTCCAATTTTAAATTTCTATCTTTATTTTCAAGATATCCTCAGTGATAACTAGTTTTGGGCTTTTCTTTTTACTATATACTTAGTTTTATGTATTGCAAATGTATTTACTTGGGGTGTCTTCATTACTTTCCTCCTGGCAAAAAGCTTTTTATTTATTTACATTCGAGGTTAAATTTCCTCTATATTGCCTATTTCAGTCGGGCACATTACTAAAAATGGCAATGTAGATCAGCCTTTTTATGGTATAGAAATGCAGATCAGGTGATTCTTTTTGCTTTAGTTATATGAATTGAAAGCTGAGTTATACACTAATTAGCGAGTCTTTTATGTTGAATTATTGCGAAAAGCCACTAAATATAACTGAATTTACCGAAAGCAGCCAATCAAATTTCAATGGAATGATCTAATATGCTTGACTGTATTTACATTATATCCCCATTAAGACCCTTT